CCGGGACCAAACCTGAGCCCAGGGAAGCAGCCTTCTTTAATTCTCCCTTCCTCTCCTCACACCACACCCAGTCGGGCCCAAGCCCAGTGGATTCCATCTCTGTAACGTCTCCCACCTGGCCTAGTCCCTCCACCTGCCCCACTGTTTTTGCTCTAACCCCTGGCTGCCGCGGTGGTTTCCCTTCATTTGGTGCCACACCCTTGGGTCAGGGCTCCAGAGGGATTGTTTTCCTTTCTCTCCTGTCGAATTGGTCAAGTTCTATGGATTCTACATCCTAATTATATTTCCAGGAGATCCGTTCTTCCCTACCTCTCCAGCCAGGGCTTCCTCGGTCCTCATTATTTCTTAGATGGGTTCTTCTGTTAATCCCTAACTAGCCTTCCTGTCTCGAATCTTCCAGACCCTTCTCCACAGTCCCACGAGGGAGGCTTGGTGTACCTTCCTCCTAAAGCCTTTCAGACCCTCACCATTGGATAAAGTCCAAGTCAGCTGCGAGGTGCACAGAGCTCTGAGCGGTCTGGCCCACTGGCTATTTCTCCAGCTCCATCTCTTGCTGCCTCCCCTCCTCCCTCTGCTCCAGCCACAGAGTGAGGTATTTGCAGTTCAGGAAACTGACCTTGTTTTCCGCCTCTGTGCCCTTGTGCTTACTACTCACTGCTCCCTGTGCCTGGAGTACCCTGCCCCCTCGTCTCTGCCTGGGGGACACCTTACACATCTTGTGAGATTCCACGAAAGTCACCTCATCCACGCAGCCTTCTCCAATCCTTTTTCTTCTTGATTCTCTCCCCTGGCATAGCAGCACAGCGTTTTCCATTTATTTCCACCTCAAGCTCAGTATCACCTACTCAGTCATCTTCCACCTCTGCCTCTCTCATTCTGTCATTCATTCCCACATCCACCCTGGCTAAGAGCCAGGCATCCTCTGGGCCCTCACTCCTTTACACCCCCATCCCTGGTCCACCAGGTGCTCTTCTGGTCTTCCTCTGAAGTGGTTCCTGATCTTCTGTCCTCCAGTCCCTCCACCCCTCCCCTAGTTCAGGCCCTCATACCTGAGGTTTTCCATGGATGGTATTCAGAATTCTTTGTGGTAGAGCCTCAACTTGTTTACCTTTTGGTCGTGTCACCTGCATATTCCTGTATATGTCATAATCCGGCCATACTAGATTCCATCCTGATCTGTGAACAGGACCCATGACTTGCTACAATCATGCCTTTGCATCTGCTGATTCTAATCCCAGTCTCCATCTACAAAATTTCTAGCTGTTCTCCATGGCTCAGCTCCATTGGCTTTCTTTCCCATGGAGCTTTTCTTGATCGCTCTTATTAGAAGTGATCTCTTTTCTCTGAACCCCTGAATCTTGCAGCCGATTTAATGGTTTTTAATACGTTGGTCTGCATTTCATGATTACTTCATGTGGATGCAGATATTAGACTATAAATTCTCTGAAGGCATGGATATAAATTATCCATTTTTGTATCACTTCTCTCCTAGAGAACCTAGCACAATTTCTTGATGTATATACATATCAGCTTGATTGAACTATAACTTACCTACCATACAAATCACCCATTTGAAGTGTACAATTCAGTGTTTTTAGTATATTCAGAGTGTGCAACCATCACCACTATCAATTTTAGAATATTTTCATTACCCCAGAAAGAAACTCCATACACATTAGTAGTCAATCCCCGTATCTCCCTAAATTGTCAACCCTAGGCAAACCATTAATCTACTTTTCTATTTCTATAGATTGGCCTCTTCTGGATATTTCATATAAACAGAATCCTATAATATTTGTCCTTTTTTTAAAAAAGATTTTATTTATTTATTTGAGAGAGAATGAGAGATAGCACGAGAGGGAAGAGGGTCAGAGGGAGAAGCAGACTCCCTGCTGAGCAGGGAGCCTGATGTGGGACTCGATCTCGGGACTCCAGGATCATGACCTGAGCCGAAGGCAGTCGATTAACCAACTGAGCCACCCAGGCGCCCAGTATTTGTCCTTTGGGGTCTGGCTTCTTTAGTATGTTTTCAACATTGATGATATGTAGCATGTGTCACTGCTTCATTCCTTTTGACTAATACTCCGTGTATGGATATACCGCATTGTGTTTAGTAACTCATCAACTGATGGTTATCCGGGTTGTTTCCACTTTGAATATTTGTGTACAAGTTCTTGTGTGGACATATGTTTTCATTTCTTGTGTATGTACCTAGAAGTGGAATGGCTGGATCATATGGCAACGCTATGTTTAGCATTCTCAGGAACTGCCAAACTGTTTTTAAAAGTGGCTGCACTATTTTACATTCCCACTGGCAATGTATGAGGGTTTCAATTTCTCCACATCCTTGTCAATACTTGTTAGTATTTGTCTTTTTGATTCTAGCCATCCTGAGTGGGTGTGGAGAGGCATTTCTCTCTGGTTTGGATTGCATGACTCTTTTAACCTATTAGATGTCCAATAAATGTTTGTCAGATAAATGATATTTATATTGAGTATGAACAAACAGAACTTTGAACAACTCATTTGACTCCCAAGCTTACTAATTAGCTAGAAAAGATGAACACAGAGCCCTGTATCATTAGAATTCAATTTTTATTTATTTATGTATTTATTTTTTAAAGTAGGACTCCATGCCCGATGTGGGGCTTGAACTCATGACCCTGAGATCAAGAGTCACATGCTCTACCGACTGAGCCAGCCAGCCAGGCACCCCTAGAATTCAGTTTTTTAAAAGTTACTTCTAAACGGTTTTCTCTCTTTTTAGTTGCCAGGATTATCTGGATGACATTGTAAAGGTGGTCATAAAAATTCATGTAGCTTTGCAAGTTTCAGTGTATTTTACAGAATAAGCTAAAATTACAAGCAAAATTCCAACTCTGATGTTGTTCCTATTCTAAACCTACCACTTGCCGGGGAGACCAGGAATGGCTGATAATTCTTGAATATCGAGGCAAGGCAATTAAACTAGCATTCCCTACCTGGCCCTTCTTTTGCCTTCTGCCTGGACCATGTTACAACTCAGAAGCTCCAGCCACCAATTCTGTGGTGAGCATGTGAACTATTACTCCTGCTTAGAGACCTGCCCATTCCCTCCTTGGGCAGGCCTGCCTTCACAAAAGCACTTGATAACACACTTGGGCACATGGGGTGGGAGAAGCAGGGAGGCGTAGGAAAATGCAAGTGCTGAAGTTTCTCTGACTAGTTTTCCTCAGTAAACAGTCGACCCTGGGAAACGTAACAGGTTCTGAAAACTTAATGTTGGTGATTCCGCACATCAGAGAAATAAGCAGCTGAATCGGTTCCCTCTTGGGCAGTGGTTTAGGTTACTTATCTCCCGTCAGAGGTAATGGTCCAACTGCTTTTGCTTGGTTCTATAAAGTTCTGTCTTGGCCAGAATCCATTCATGTCATCCATACCTACATAGACACTTCTTCCTATCTGTAGCCCTGAAAGCCAGAGTGCCACTGGTCCTGTGGAAGGTTCCTTGTGGAAGGCCACAAATTAGAGGGCCGTGATTGCACTTACAACTTTGTAGGGCAAAGCTGGTGTGGTAGAGCCAGGGTCAAAGGTCATAGTAGAGAGTAGCTAGCTTTGTGTACCTGTAACATCATCTTACTAACTCCTCTCCAACGCTTAATTCTACCGCAGTATTCTCTACAACTATTTAGGAGGCACATTTATCCTCAGAAACTGGGGGAGTAGGGTGGTGTTTATTTTCCAAAACCACAATCATCCCCTATCTGTCTAAAGATGTTTCCAAAGGCCCCTCGCCGAACCCCGGTAGGAAAAGTATTAACAGTGGGAAACATGTCAGCTGCTTGTTGGAGGAAGAGCAGTCCGGGCCTGGTTTCTCTGGGGCTCCGTGATAACTTGGGCCGCCTAAGCCACGCCGAAGCTGGTGGCAGCCGCCTTGGGGATGGAGAACAGGCAGCTCCAAGGAGGGCCCCTGCGTTTCAGAGTTGAAACAGGAGCCCTCTGAAAGAAAGAGATATTGCGTGTGGCTTCCCTGGTGCCTCGGAGGGCGACGTGGATGACACAGCATCAGCAGTGCCGTCGCGGGGTGGGGACGCAGGGGCGGTAGGAGCCTGTGCCATCCTCAGCCCCTTGGGGGCGAAGCAACCCCCGCTTAAGCATCAGGTGTGGAGTGTGGGGAAGGGAAGGTGACAAAAGGCGAGTAAGCTTTGAATTTGTTGGACGGAGAACACGCTCCCTCCCGGGCGGCAGCCCCAGAGCTAGAAGGACCGGGCCCTGGGAGAGAAACAGCCCTAAGTTGGGGGCGGGGTGAAGCGCTGGTTCCTTAATCTCCTGCCCCATCATCTACTCGCCCCACCTGGATGCAGAGCGAGGACCGCGTGGAGAGGGAACGGCGCGGGTGGGGCTCACCCTCCCGTTTGCCTCCGAGACCGGGCGGGGCGGTGCCGGGCCAGGGAACCCGACCCCCACGCCCCCACCCCCACCCCCCAGCCTCCGGGGCGCCCCTCTCGCGCCTCCCGGGCATCGCTGCCTCGCAGTCTCCTCCGTTAAAATAGTGAAACAAACCCTGGAGTGAAGTGATGGAAAGCCGGGGGCGGGGAGTTGCCAGCAAGTGAGGGGCTGGAGGGGAGGGGGCGCGGTGGTCCAAGAGGGTGGCCGGCCGGCGAGCGCTGGGCTGATAGCGATCGCGCTCAGCTGCGGCGGCCGAGACCCTTCCCCTGGGGCGGCCCGGCCCTCCCCTGGCCCGGGGCGCCTGCGGAGGACGTGGGGGCAAACCTGGGGCTGCGGTGGGGGTGGGGTGGGGGCCTCCACCTCCATCCATCCCGGGATGGAAACTGCGGTCGCCCCGCTAAAATCGGGGCGGGGGCGGCGGTGGGGACCCGCGGGTACCGCGGGCCCCCCCACCCCCCAGCCCGAGCCGCCGCCGCCGCCGCCGCTCAGTAACACGTCCCCAGGAGACTCGCAGGAGCAACACGTGATGTGTCTACTTATCAGGGTGAGAGGGGGAGAGCGAGTCTCCGAGCGTGCGGGCGAGGAAGCGGGGCGGGGGGCCGAGGCGGGGGCCGGGACGACGGCTGGGGTGCCGGGGTCGCCAGCTCCTCGCCCACCTCCCTCCCTGTGGGAGAAGAGGAGGAGGGGAAGTGACTGCGGAGTTGATGAACTTTGCACATCCAGAAACGCCATTTTGATTCCTTTTCCGGAACAAGTTTGCATCTCTCCTCTTTCTCTCCCTGAAGCCCACCGGTGCCCACTGCATCATGCCTGGGAGCCAAGAGCCCTGCCGGGCCGTAAGTACGCGCCCGGGGTTCTGGCTCCCGGTACTCGGGTGGCAGCGAGATGTCTAGGGCTGAGCGGGAGCGACCTTTTAAAGAACTTTTGGGGATGGGGAGGGTGAAGTGTGCAGAGCGCGTTGTACTTTTTAAACTCGGCGTTTCCCGGAGCCGAGGACCCGAGCGCCCCACGCCGCGCTACGTGCGCTCGGGGCGGTGGGGCCGGCCGGGGATGAGCTGGGCAGCCCTCTCCCCTCGGGCTGCGCGCCGGGCCGCTCCTCCTCCTCCTCCCCTTCCTCCGCTCCTTTTCCCCTTCCCGAGCTGCCGGCTCTGCCAACCAGCTCCCAGCGCGAGCCGCCGCGGCCGCCGCAGCGCCCCGCCGCCAGGACCTGATGCGCATCCATATTAGCCGTCCGAGCGCAGGAATCCGGCCCGACCCGCGCCGCCGCGCCCGCCGCGGAATTTATTTTTAACCAGCACCGCCGGGACTCGGATGGTGCGCGCACCGCGGGCCAGAAACATCTTCCCAGCGCTGCTCTCCATCTTCCGCCCTCTCTCCCCCGACATCCTCCCCCCCATGTGGGAGGGGAAACTTTTCTCCTACATACTTTCGAGTCCCTCTCGGGCCGAGAAGCGCGGAGATGACGGCGCCCGCCCGCCGCCGCAAGGTATCCGGGGGTGCCCGCCTGGGGTGCTCGCTCGGGGGTGCCCGCTTGGGGCTGCGCGGTGGGAGCATCCGCCGCGCCCTGCTCCGCGGACTTTGATCCTCCCCGGCGGACGGCGCCGGCCGGGAGGGGGCCGCGGGCAACGCTGCGCCCTCCCCCGTTCCCGGCTCCAGGCTAGGGGTCACGCCGACCACCGCCCCCGGGTGACCGGGGGAGGAGGGGGCCGGAGCCGTGTCCGCGCGTATTGTTCCCTTGCCCTTCGGTTGGCGGTGTACGTGTTTTCGTGGGAGCCAGCGGTGTGGAGCGGAGCCTGCATCGCGGGGGGGGGGGGAACCTCGGCACCCGGCGCCGTCACGAGCACAGGAAGGAGGCCGGGAGCATCCGAGGCGGGGCCGGCCGCCGGGCCCGCTTCGCCGCCCAGCTGTGGAGCGCGCTCGGAAACTTTTGTCCGCCGCCCGCTGGACCAATTTTTCCCGAGTTCTGGGGCTTCCCTTCCTCCTCCCATCCCGGCCCGCTGCGCGGAGCCGGGGCGGAGGTGGGGGGGGAGGGCCGGCGTCGAGGGACAGGGGACCCAGTGCGCCCCCCCCACCCGGCCTTGGGCCCGGCCCCCGGCGCCCCCTCCCCACTCGCGGTCTCTTAGGAAACTGCGACCTTAATGGTTGCTAAGGAGCAGGGGAGGTCCTTCCCGTCGCCGGCCCCCTCCCTGGGAAGCGGCGTGTTTTCTGGAAGGGGCCGAGGGTCGCGTCGAGGATGTGGTGACTCGCTCCCCGGCCGCTCGCGGGGCCGGGCCAGGCGCGTGAGTGCGGGACGCGGTGGCGGAGCCCACTTCTCTGCGGGGCCACTTTCTTTTTCGGGCGGGCGGGGGGGGGCGGGGGTGGCCCCGGGCAGAGGAGGGGCGCAGGAGGCACGAGGACCCGGGGGTCGCGGGGACCGGTCAGCGGGCGGGCCGGTTGACAGGCGCCGCGTGCAGCTCGCGTCCAGCGTCCGCGGTGCATCCGTGATGGGTTATAAAAGAGGAGGAAAGTATTTCTCCTTGCTCAGCAGATTTGCCCTCCCTCGCTCCTTACTGGTTAGAAGATAGAACGTGAGCCCAGATCCGGACGAGCAGTTCACATTCCATTACGAAATTCTACACGGCTTCAGAGCCAGCAGCAGCACACATTCGGGGCACTTTGGAGTTTTTTCTTCTTCTTTTTTGGGGGGATGGTGGTGGTGGTGGTGCCGAGACATAGAAGGGTGAATAAAAAAATAGAACTTTTTTTGGTACGCTGAGAAACCTGTCTGAGGGTTTTCATCAGTAGAAAAATTAAGCCTCGTGCTTGTTTTAGAGTTTAGATTTAAGCCTAGCCTTTTAAAAAGTCAATGGAAATAAAGTTTGTCTGTTGGATAGGGATGCTGGAAATAGCGAGGTATTTCGGTCTCGAAGAGGAGACTTGAGATGATTTCTGCAAAGGCTGAGTTGCTAATGTGCATCCCATATTTTTGAGATCTTTTTTTCTTTTAGGCATGAAGTGGTCTGTGCATGCGCATGAGTGTGTTCTGAAAAAAGTTTAGTTTTAGTGGAAGGTGGAGAAAAGGGAACTGCAGAGCAAAGAATGGTTTTTGTTAGTTTTAGGGTTGTTTTTCTTCTTCTTCTTCTTCTCCTCCCCATAGCCCTTAAAAGCATCCTCTAGACCTGGTGCTTTTTCTGGTAGGCAGGTATGATTCTAAGACCTAGTGTAACCCGGAAGTCTAAGTTAGAGGCTGGAGTCCTGGCAGAAACTTTTTTTTTCCTTTTCTTAAACATTTAGTTCTGTGCTTCCTTCAAGAGTCACACAGAACTTTTGAAGAAATGGGTTCGAAATTAGTCTCCCCAAAAATTTATGGAACGGTGAGCCACTAATGTTAGGGGTTTTTGTTGTTGTTGTTGTTTGTTTGTTTGTTTGTGTTTTACCTCTGCATTTTGGAGGGACCTTTCTGGGTACCCGCTGATGGATCCTGCTTTGATGTGTTTTGAGCTTTGGTTACACTGATGAATTAAACATTTGAATGTCTTTTATCAAGTTTTAAATGTGTGAAAAAACACCTTCTCTCCCACCCACCCCCACTTTTACAAAAGAAAGGGAGAGCCCTTTGATTTGGTTATTTGTTTAGCTTGTGCCCCATTTTAGGTTGTTAATGAACTTGCACTGTTTTATCGTTTTTAAAAATACTGCTAAGCAGGTTGTATTTTGCGATGTTTTGTTTTTAAAGGATTCGCTGGTTATATGGTACATGCTGCTGATGCTTACTGTACATGGCACATCATTCTCTGGCGTTTTCTAGATGACTAAAGTTTCTCATCAGAAATTCAGAGCCTCAGCCCTTATGGCAGACAAGTGTTTGTTCTGTGATGGGGAAGATGGGTCTGACTCAGCTAGCACAGGTGGTGCATCCATTCCTAACTATTTACATCATCCAACAAGTGACCTTTTGATTGAAGGGTCTTTTATTTTAGATATCTTCAGGCGGACTCCTGAGATCTTACTTGTATCCAACACAGGTATAGAATGTTGAAGAAGGAAAACAAACCTACCCTGTTAGTGGGCATCTGATCAGGTTGTTTATTGGTTTATCTGCTGTCTTGTCAGGCAACAGCTAGTTGCCATGATGTGGCTTGCATTTTTACTCTTCAATTTTAAACTGCTGTGTTGATCCATTTCCTAAGGTCAGTTTGGGAATCTTTGCTTTCTGTCTTTATGCTCAGTTGTTAACATCATTTATTACCTTCAGCAAAGGAAAATTCCTGGTTAATGATGTTAAAAAATTAATATGAATTATAATTAATATAATACAACTTCTACAAAAATTGGTTAAATGTGCTCACTAGAAACAGAAGTGAATCCTTTTGATGTTTCTATTCATTATCCTTCTGAAAAGTAGGTGGTGCTTAAAAGGTCATAGGATAAGGGTTGCTAAGCAGCTAAACAGAAGGATGCTAAAATTAACCAAAGCATTTTTGAAAGGGAGTCCTTCCCTGTTTTACATTATTTACTAGATTTAATTAATTTCTGAATCCTCCATGTCCTCTGACCTAGGAAGGTAGGCTGTTAAGTTTGTTTTGTTTTTGTTATCATATTTAAATAATCTCTCTCTCTTTTGTAAGTGTCTTTTAATTGAAGTTCATGCTCTCTGACCAACTCTGGTGTCAGATGGCAGCTCCTCTGGGCGGACTTCTTGTCTGATACCCATGTGTTCAGGTTAAACCTCCCTTTCCTGAGGATATACGTGCACAACATCACCTTAGTTCATTTATTCATAGCGGATTGTTTCGTTTGTTTTGGAAAATCTAGCTCATCCACAAAGTGATGTCTTCCTTTACTCTTTATTAAACAGATTTGCATTCAAAAGATAGAAATGTAATATAGTATCAATAGAAAGTATGCAGTATAGTCCCTCCTGATAACAGGACAATAGTCGTCTTCCCCTTGCCTGAGATTAGATTAGGCTTTGATAGGACTACACCTCCCCATCTTAGTTTACTCAGCCCAGTTTTTCATACCTTCTCAAAAATAATTGTATTAGATTTGGAGTATCTTTGGAAGGGTGACCAAATGTAAAAAAAATAAATAATAAAAATAAAAAGTGTGATTTACATAACATTTCTGCTGTGAGTAGGTGTAAGGATATTGAAGTTGTACAGTGAGATAAAATGGTTGCAGTCTTAACTAAAGCCATGGTTGGGAAGCATCATCTCTTGGTTGAAAGGCAAGCCTGCTCAGTCAGAGGTTTCCCCGTCTCAGAGTTGCTTCTGTACATCTGACCTACTGAACAAGCAAAGTTGAGTAACATTTTTTATATCCAAATATAATTAAGAAACTGGGTGGGTTCTTTGGGAGGGGGCAGGGTGCATGAGTTCTCATTCTTGCTTTCTCAGACTTAGTGATTTGGAGTAGAAAGAGGCAGGGCCCTCTTCAAAAAGCAGGGGTCAGATTGTGATTTCCACGCCCCGGGGGGCCTCCCCATAAATCAGAGGTAAAAGGTGTACCATATGAAACACAGAGGGAGGCACACGATGTGCTTTCTGAAATGCATCACTTATTTTTAATTTCCCCACTCCCATAGAAGGCAGAATAAAGAGGAAAACCATCTGCTGTGTTTTCACCACGACTGAGGTAGCAGAACAAGGAAGGTGGGGGGTGGGGGGTCAGGGAGACAGACTTTTTACGTGGGCTGCCCTGTGGGACAGTGTCGCCGACTGTGCCGGTCTCGGGGTCTCTGGTCACCTTTGGGGTGTTCTCCGTTCGCTTGAAGGGAAGCCAGTGTGGAGTAGAGCCAGAGACTGCTCCCTGTGGGTTGGTGGAGACCAAGGGAAGCCTGGGAGGAGGGCTCAAG